AGGTAAGTGTTACTCCCAACTGCCCATCAGCTAGGAGAGGTAAGCGTTACTCAGTACTGCTCATCAGCTAGGAGAGGTAAGTGTTACTCCCAACTGCCCATCAGCTAGGAGAGGTAAGCGTTACTCAGTACTGCTCATCAGCTAGGAGAGGTAAGTGTTACTCCCTACTGCCCATCAGCTAGGAGAGTTAGCGCAACTCCATACTACCCATCAGCTAAAGGAGCTAAGCGCCACTCAGTACTGCTCATCAGCTAAGAGACCGTCACACAGGGTGGCGGCCCGCTCTGCCCTGGGCTGTTACTCACAGCGCCTCTCCTCGCTTGGCTTTCTTGTCTGAAACCAGATAGACAGTTCCGAAACTCCCACTGCCGAGTTTCTGCCGGAGCACGTATCTTCTCGCAACCAAGGTCTCTGGGTCAGCGCAAGCGGCCGCCGGTCCACTTGCACCCTTGGTAGCCTCCTGGAATTTCAGCATGGCTCCGAATGGAGGGTCGTGGGTAGAACACCAGCACGGAGAGCCTTCCAGGAGCCGCCCAGTCCGTTCCAGCTGTGATGGCCAATGCCTTGAACCGGAATGTGCCCACCTTGGACAGTGCCACCTGTACCTTGAATAGAGATGGATGCCGTTAGGACGCTGACTTCCCCAAGGTGAGCGGAAAGTGGCGGGAGGCAGGGACACTGAGAACAGCACAAGGCGATCTTTCACAGGGAAGGACGCTTCCCTTGTGCGTGCGCATTCAGCGACCCTGCATCACAGCCAACTTTCCACACGTTTCTGGGCGCACTAACTCCTTCACAATCAAACCAACCTATCTGTCTGTATTTGTACTCCCCATCTGCTGTTTAAAATCATCCAACACAATAATGACCTAAATCTATGCATTCAGAGCAACTTTTTTGTAATGCTCTCTCCCACCTTACGTCTACTTGGGTTTACAGTGAGTTAAGAATAAATCAGAAATGGGGGCCAGCAGTTAGCATAATGACTATGTCACTGGACTCCCATGCAGTCGATCACGGTTCAAGTCCCAGACCTGGTGGCTTAAACTCACGCCGGGCGCGTGTGCGTGTGTGCCAAGATCCCGAGAGGAGAATGGAGGAGAAAGGATTGCGGCGTGACCATCCCCCCTGGGGGGTGATTTCTCACTTTCTGTCTCTGTCTCTTTCTGGCAAGTGCACACGCCCTATAGCAAAAACCTCTCAAGGAAAAAAAAAAGATTAAATCAGAAATGAGCATGATGCTGGTTTCCTTTAGATTTTTCTCCCTTGTAGACTTCAAACCACAGCTTTTGCATCTATTAGAGTGGACGTGAGGCAGGGAGGATTCAGAGGAAATGAGTTTCCCATGCTAAACAAACTCCAGCACCTGAAACTCCTGCTATACGCAGGGCACAGACCCCTGAGCTGGAACGCAGTGTCACAGCACAGCCCACGCCTGACACTGCAGGGCAGTGCTAGCAGAGTGCACACACGCTACGAGGAAACCTGTGATTCCAAGGGACGATGAAGTGTGTGGCAGACTACACAGGGAGGAATGTCTCCTTGGGCGGGTACAAAGTAATACCACTTTATTTCATCCAAATGTTAAGTGTTTTGCTAGTAATCTTAAAAGCATTTTTTCTTTTAAATCCATATGACGATATAGTTTTACGCTGAAGACCGTCTAAGCCATGGCATTAGGTCTGCATACCCAACCACCCTGGAGCTGCAGGACAAAAACCTACCGTTTCTAATGAAGGTTAGTGGGCTTTATATGGTGGGGCAGGTAACCACAAAACCACGAAATCTCAAAACAGCTTAAACAAGGAAATACCCACTTAGAGAATAGTGGTTTCCTTCTTGACATAAGGTGTGTGTCAGCTACGTCTCACTGACGCCAGTGAGACTGGAACCAGCTCCTCTCCCCAGAGGAACGTCAGTGGGACCTGCTGAGAAAACAACTTCTTCTCTGGCATAAAAGCAACGCTTTCTGGCCAAATTAAGATACTCGGAGAAATATATGAAGCCAGGCAGGTGGCGTGGTGGTTAGAGTGGCTGGCTTCCACACGGCCACTTGCACAGTTTGAGTGCCAGACCTGGAACCTCGGGGGACACGCCTGGTGTGTGTGCTGGACACTGATACACATGTGCGGAAAAACCGGAGAGCAGAGTGGGAGGGAGGGAGGCCACAGTCAAGCCCCGTGGCTCATTCCCTCCCCCGCTCTCTCTCTCTCCAGAGAGCGCACAGACCCTAGCGCACAACTGAAAGAAAACATAGGATGGACTCGTCCTTCCCCACAGGAGAGGGCCTCCAGCTCCTTCGGTACTTCTCTGGTGGACAGATTAAGGTCTCCATTTAGAGGAGGACAGAACTAGAGAGGACAGCACACTGGGAAGCCCTCTTCCAAGCTTCTGCAGACAAAGGCGGTTTAAGCCCAGCAGAGTCTCATCAGTCTGCCTGCTCACAGCTCTCTGGGACTAGACCCTCCTGCCCACCTCACAGGCCCGGCCCTGCACCCCTGCAGCCCTCCTTCAGGGGTCCTCCCAGAACTCTGAGCAGCCCCCTAGAAGCTAGAACTGCCCATGTGTAAAGCCCTCCTGGCCCTCCAGGCTGCCAAGGAACCTGCGTGCTCAGAATACATCTTCCTGGGGGAACCAGCAGTTAGCGTAATGGCTATGTCGCTGGACTCCCACGTAGTCGACCGCGGTTCGTGTCCTGGACCCGGTGGCTTAAAACTCACGCCGGGCGCGTGTGCGTGCGTGCCCAAGATCCCGGGAGGAGAATGGAGGAGAAGGGATTGCGGCGTGACCATCCCTCCTGGGGGGTGATTTCTCGCTTTCTGTCTCTATGTCTCTGTCTGTCGGGCGAGCGCACGCGCCCTATAGTGAAAAAAAAACTCTCAAAAAAAAAAAAAAAAAAGAATACATCTTCCTGGCCAGTGTGGCTCAGCCCTTGGCCTACACCAGGGTGGAGGTGGAGGTGGAGGGAGCAGGGGAGGGAGCTGGGGGAGGGGGAGGGAGCAGGGGAGGCGGTGGGGAGGTGGAGGGAGCAGGGGAGGGAGCTGGGGGAGGTGGTAGGGAAGAGGAGGGAGCTGGGGGTGGAGAGAGCTGGGGAGGGAGCTGGGGGAGGTGGGGGGGAGGGTGGAGGGAGCAGGGGGAGGTGGTGGGGAGGTGGAGGGAGCAGGGGAGGGAGCAGTGGGAGGTAGAGGGAGCAGGGGAGGGAGCTGGGGGAGGTGGTAGGGAAGAGGAGGGAGCTAGGGGAGGTGGAGAGAGCTGGGGAGGGAGCTGGGGGAGGTGGAAGGAGCAGGGGAGGGAGCTGGGGGAGGTGGTGGGGAGGTGGAGGAAGCAGGGGAGGGAGCTGTGGGAGGTGGAGGGAGCAGGGAGGGAGCTGGGGGATGCCGAAAATATCCCTTGGAAGCTGAAACCAGCGGGTGGGGTGAAAGACCAGAGCAGGGCGTTGAGTGCGGACTGGGCGCGAACTTGCTTTGCACAGGTTCAGGTAGGATAGGCTCTCACCTTGAAGGTACGCCTCACGTTTAAGCTAACGCGAAGGGCCTCTCGCCGCGTCTCTAAGAGCGAACGACCTGCCTCCTCCTAACTTGCCCTAGCG